TAAAAATTCTAGCATCTCGGTGAGATGAAACTATAGAATCGAGTGATACAAAGCATTAATGGTATAATGAGTTCCAAGTTACTTCGTCCTCCAGTTCCTGCGACGTTAATTTCTGAGCTTCTTGCTGAAAGAGATTGATATATATTCATTGTCTACCGTCTCTCCTGAACGAGTTTAAAGTTTCTTTCGGAAGCTAACCACTTTAACCACGACCTCGTCGTATTCCGCTTTCTTGTCCTTCAACGCCACCACGTCCTCCAGTCTCTGCAAGAATCGTTTAAACGAGAAATCGATACGATTGAATATCTATTAGTATCCGTCAATCGACGCACCGTTCGGTTCTCCTCCATGATCTTCAGCATCTCCTTGTTCGCCCTCTCCATTCTTCTTATCACCTATTGAAAAGCAAAATAAAGCAACTGAAAATTTGTCGTTTCTTGTAAAATTGAACTTGGTCACTTTTAAAAATTCTAGAGGTACAGACAAAATTTTTTTTTCCAAAACAATTCTTTCATATTGGCTATCATTCACTACCTACAATTATTCTTATATTATTTTACATGTCGCTAGTTGAAATTATCAGTTGACTGTTCTCTTGCAAAAAGTTAGTTTGTGTTTATTGAAATTTAACGAACTGCAATGCTCGATTTGAATTTTTCAAATTTATCTTTCACAGAAGAGAAATTAATATTAATTCTCAAGCAGAATCATTAATGTATCACAATATATTAATGACCGTATGATGATAAAAGGAATTTTATTTTATCCTGTATCTTCTATTACTGTGAATAGTGATAACATTTGAATAAAATTAAAAATACTACATTGTACGATTTTCACTTCAGATGATTTCCCAAAAATTCACGAAAAATATTTCCGAGCGAAATGTTTCACCCATTGGTACTCACCGTAGTGGCGTACCATAGTGCTACGTAAAAGAGTACGTGCATCAAAACGCAAACGTAAACGTTGTCCAACACGTACGCCCGTACGAACGACTATAACGAAGAAATGAAGAATTGGAAATCAGTGGAAATCGCGCGATTTTCGTCTCGTGGTTTTCACGGTCTTTACTTGACGATCGTATAGATCAACGAGCTTTAGAATCGGATAGGACCTCGCCAGTTGGGAGAAGTAGCTCTGCTTTTGCAAGAACATCGTTGCCAATGCAATCCATTAGTCGGCGTTGCAAAGGGTTTCGCAAAATCCCACGCGAAAGATGGAAAATATCGTCGACAAAGAGACACGTCACTTCGATAAACGAGGCAGGAAAATCTGTCAGACGTTACATCACGGACATTTTGAATCGGGTGACGATTGAATAATCGACTGTCGAGGAATCGAATTATGTATTATCATTGACTAGAAGATAGAATAGATCGGGCATGAATTGTGTCTCAGAGACTGAAATATCGATCAGGAAAAGAATCACTTTTTTCAGCGCATTCTATGTTTAAGCAACTTAGGTGAATTGGAGAACTATACCAAGTAAAATGATACAAGCAGAAACGAGGAGTGTAGGGGAAATTTGAACCTTGTTTAATTGTTACAAACAAGCTGTTACGAATAATTGTCGAATAATCGTTAAAAATATAGAAAATAATTTAGAAATATAAAATAATTAAATTGCTGATTCAATTGTTATAAATAAATAGTGAAATTATTAATTAGTATATAAAAATATCGTGGAATGCAAAAAATATAGAAATTACAGTATTTGTTGTTGCTTTAAATTAATGGGGATTATAATCACAACAAAAATCTAATAATTTAATTGCTTAAACATTACCTAATATTTAAGAAGTGTTTAAAGCGGTAAAAGTGAATGTGTTAAAAATGATAGAAGTGATTTTCGATAATACTTGGAAATATTATAGAAAAGAATTTATTGTTTAATCCTTACAAGTAAATTATTAGAAACATGAATATTCAGAAATATTATTTGAAGATTCACTTCTAAAGTTTGGTTGATGTGCACATATATGCGAAGTATGTAACTTAACTACCGTGAAGTTTAGAAAGCAAATGTTAAGAAAATAAACACGTACTTTACATTTTATATTTGCAAGTATATTTTATATTCCTCTATTCTACATCCTATCATTTAATATTTTTCGAAGATCTGACTCGTAAAATTTGAACATCACAATTCCAGCAACCATGTTTAGCAAACCATTTTTCCAACAAAAATATTTAAAAAAACAAGGTAAAGAATACCTCACAGTATTTTATATTGTCTCGAGAACAATTTTATATTCTTATACGCACAGAAGCACTGCATATTCTCTGTCCCGATATCAATTATTGAAGAAACAAAATTACGCCCTGCCTAAACTCCGCGCTAGTTCGACGAAAATAGCACGCAAAGTGTTGTAATATTAATAGCTATTAATTCCCACGTATATAAGCGGCGTATATTATTCCATCATGATGTTCATTGGAAAGCACAAAATAATGCGATCAACCTGTGGCATGACCTACAATAGCTCCAATAGCACGAACCGATGGTGGACCACGCTACTTTTCTTTTTAATAATTTTTTTTCTACCTGCATCAGGAATTCAATTAGTTCGAATTACAAAGAACGTGCAGAGTAATTACAATCGTTGATACACGAACGTAACGTTAAAGTCCTGAAGGAAATTCCCTCGGAACGTGTACACGCTCGAGCAAAAGCATTGAATAATTAAACAGCAATTTCGTACGCAATGAACGTCACAACTGACTAAATTTTCAATTAAGATATCGTTATTATCGCGGTTCAAAAAGAAGCTAATAACACGTTATCGGGGGGTGTCATTAATTAACTACGGACATAATTCACCCGCTGTATTGGATAGAGAGACCATGATTCGCGGATAATCGTGTTATTCAGCCCTGTCTCGATGATTGACTTAATTTCGCAAATAACACGGTCGTTGTATCAAAAATTTATTGCACCATTGAGAGCATACATGAAGAACATGTTTAAGTAATTCGAATAGAAGTGACAAATATAGTGACTTCGTCTTTTCGTTACTAACAGTAAATTAAGAACTATGAATAAAAATGAGTATCACGAACTGTCTATGATCGATTGCGTAATGTGTACACTCAATAAACAATTATTTCTATGGAAAATCAAATACACGTAATTTCTTTTCCTTCGAAGCGGTGGCATTAATTTTAAATACGACAGCGCGATCCTTGAAATATCGTCGAAGATCGTAGACTTTAGTTTTCGATGGATTCGTTTCGAAACTTACGATTCACAGATTCTATTCTGTGTCTCTTTTTTTCATTAAATATCAGATACATTCTGAATATATTTCGTCTGTGTTTCAATCAATAAGATCTCTTTTTGTAACTATTGATTTTATCGTTTCCGACGAAAAAATCCTCGCCGATGAATTCGTAAAACATAGATAGAGCTCTCTCTGATACAAACATAAATACGTAATATGAAATGGAATACTTTTATGGATATCAATTTCGGTGAACTATTAATATTAAAAACATTTCCTTCCGAAAGATATCTATTATTTAATCAAAGTGCACTTTGCTTGAATTCTGCGATTTCCATTCTCCAAAAATTTGTAATCTCTGCTGTCTCGTTCGTAGAAAAAATTTTTACGTGTTGAATAATGGAGTTAACGTTGCGAAATTTCATTTCTCCACTCGTTTTTTTTTTTCTTCATATCGCAGGCAAGTGAAGTAAGTAGAGAGAATAGGGCAAATGTTAGAAAATTGCTTTCCGAAAACGTTTCGAATTAAAATTTATGGTGGATCGTTTCGGATTTTTCATTTCCATTTGGCTGAGAGGAACGAAATTTCTTCGAAGTTCTACGAGTTTTCCTCGTTCGAAATATACGTGCGTGCTTCATTCAGGTTGCTGGTGGCATTCGTAGCGTTATTGCAAAGTTTATGTTCATATTACACGAACATTAGAATTCATTTTCGCACAAAATTCCAAAGAAATTAAATATCCGAAATGGATTAAAAACCCGACGTGCATCACACGATTTAATTATGAGCTTGATTTTTTGATGAATAAATTCCTTTCCCATTGATTTCTCTCTTGATAAAATTACAATGAACATTCCGTTCGATAGAGCTTCCAATAATTTATTAAATTAATATAGAGCAAAGTGTATAGTTTTCATAATTCATAATTGCTTTCTTACGAATAAATAAATTCTTTTTTCCTTGATAAGTCTTTTCACTTTGATAAAATCGCCATAATTGTTTGCAATTCTTTATTGAATTAATAGAACGAAGTGTATAGCGTTTGTTTTAGCTTATACTGCAAACTATGAGATGTCACGATTGTTGTTAGAATTTCTCAAGGAATAACATTAAATTCCAGAGTTAATTAATTATTCCTAAAGTGTAATTTTCCTGCGTGTATTTCTATTGAATTCATCTTGAAAGCTAGCTCAATTTTCGAGAAAAAGGGTATCCTCACTTTACCACCAACTAAAGTCACTTTCGAAATAAACGCTTTGTGCTTTAAAACGAAACACAAGTGGATCGTGACACATTTACATCGGTCGAAATTACCGACAATTTTCAATCGTCATCGGCACAATTATGCACATTCGCTGTACACGCGATGTGAAGACATCGTTCGACTCAAGACACAAACAAGAAGAACGTGCATGCACACACCCTCAGCGAAGCGTTCAGTTTCGTCGCGTAATTTCTCGTTATCGTTCGTTAAGCGACTCGACTCGACTCGGAATGAGACGAGACGCGTCCAACGATTTTATCGCTCGTAAAGTAATTCCCCCGGTGATTTACGGCGATGCTAATTGGTACGTTTGCCTTTGGCAAAAGTTCCCATTCAGTTACATTTCGTCGGCCTTCGCAGTTTCACGAGGTCCGATCACGAAATCGCCATCTCGGAAATTATCGTCGAATTCAACTGTACGCGTCGAATAATACTACTGTATTCCCCACCGTCCGTTCGGAAGGACCGCCGAAACACGTTAATTTCAATGCGTCAGCAACGAGAATTTATTCAAACGGTCTGCTTAATATCAGCGATTTTATAATGTATCGCGATACGAGCGGGGGAGGGGGAGAGAGGGGGTGGGTGGCTCGCGGCGCAAGAAGAACCGAAACGCATTTCGCAGGAACTCCGGTGTGAGTGTAATACCGATAATGAAGAACAGGAGAACGGTGAATGAAAATTGCGAGCACAGTTTATTGATTTACTACAACGAGCGCGAGCTTGCGTTTTAATTGGCTTAATGTTTGTTTAATGTGGAGCACGACATCGTATCGCCCGGTCTGGCTGGTAATGGAAAACACCGTCGTGGAAACGGTTAAGCGAAAACAATCGAGAATGTTTGCTACGAGGCTAATTAATATTAACAACGACACGAAGTGAAGGAACGAAGCAGGGATAATTAGCGAAATTAAATTCCTATAGAGAGACGTTCCGCGTTTCAAGCCTTTTCGCCTTCCAAGCGAGACGGTTGCGGATTCACTCTGCGGGTTTCCGTAATCTCGATTCAACGCGGCTGGTATTTTCAAACAATGGAGCGCCGGTTTTTCAACGCTTTCCCGCGGATATTTCCAAACTCAGAGATCAGAATTATAATTATTGCATTCAGATAATGATCGTATACGCAGGGCAATTTTCGAGCAATTTTCTGTTTTGAAATCTAAATTTCCGTGAGCGTTTAGAAAAGAACTATTTCCTACGTTTAAAAAAAAAAAAAAAAAAGAACCATTTCCTGTGTTAAGAATTTTGTTCATCATAA